ATCGATTGGTCATGCGGTGAGTAACTTTTTAGGTTATATGAAGTCGAACTTCGATGATATCACATGATTAGGGAATGAAGAAGTTCGCAAGCAGGCAATGAGCAGTGAATTTTTAAGTTTTACGTTAAATGTTGAGAATAGAGGAAGGAATCTAGACAAAAATATATGCAGAGATAAATTCAAGTCCAGAAGAGGAAAATTCTGGTCAGGAAAATGAAATAGGAGTGAATGCTGGAACTATGGGAAGATAAATCATTTCATGGACTATAGAGCTCCATGAAAGCTTGGTGGAGGCCAAGATAGGTATCTTTCTATAAATATATCCATAGGTGAAATGCAAGGTGACTCCCTGGTTTTATTCCTAGCCGCTGCTGAATCTTGGATAATAGATTCATGCGCCTCCTTTTATGCATGCCCCAACAAAGAGGTGTTTACAAACTATACTTAGAGTGTTTTTGGAAAGATAGATTTCGGAGATAAAAAGGCCTGCAATATCGTTACAATGGGTGTTGTTGTACCAAGTTGTCAAATGAAACAGTCTGAAAGATCAGTCAAATTAGACATGTTCCAAGTCTGAAGAGAAATATGATCTTAGTGAGTTAGCTGACAAAGTCAGGGTAAATGAGTACTTTCACAGGTGATTTTTGGAAGGTGATCAGGGGGCAATTGTGTTAACTTGGGGAAAATTGAAGGCACTCTTTACTGATTAATGAGATGACAAAATCCATTGATGATGTTAGATCCAAGGTTGATGCAAGTCTTTGGTATTGCATGTTAAATCATATGAGCGAAATATGTATGAAGTCTCGACATTCTAAGAATAAACTTCAAGGTTTGAAGTCTATATAGTTATATTTATGAGAATACTTTGTATATGACAAGCAAAAGAAATTTTTTTTCTGTCAAATGTGGAGCAATGTGAAGTCATAGAAGTTAGAGTTAATGCATACTGACCTATGATTTCCTAGTCCAGTTCAGTCTATTGAAGGTTCCCACTACTGATGTGGGGTGTCTCCTACGATTTCTCACGCAAATGCGGGATGACGCAACCTGTGCTTTTGGACCGATTCAATCCATCAATGTCCAAACCTTTTTAACCAGAAGATCTTAGTGGTCAGGCGATCCCTCCTTGCCATGGGTTTGCTGCCTAGCTGAGGGAACCTTACGCTTGGTTACCCAGTCCAATAAGTATGTTTTTTTTGCATTGCAGTGCAGTTTTTTGTGTTTGTGTTCGGGACAACCGTTAGTGTCCCAATTTCTCCATTATAGGGTTTTATACAAAGGCAGGTGGTGCTCCGCTATAGCTCGTCCAAGTGGTGATATTCATTCAAGGTTCTAGTGGTGCTCCAACTGAAGCTTGTTCCCAAGAGAATATTTATCCTCGACCTTTCTCCACACCCCTTGCCTCGCTGCCATGTCATCTATCCTGACTGCAGCAACCCAGATAGCTTCCTATAGTTGTTTTCCCTGCAGCTGTCTACCTCTCTGCAACCATACTACCTCTCACCTTGTTGCCATCTCTTGAAATACCGCCCCCCCCCCCCCCCCCCCCCCCCTCAAAATTGTTGCCACCATCCAGAACCCTCGCTCTTCCCACTCCACCTTACTATTAGCACCCAAACCAGTTGCACTCTTGTTGCTGCTACTCTGAACTGACCACATTGTTGTCGTCGTCTCACTGGACAACCTTACTGTATCAATCCCTTTTGCTTGCTTGCAACCCGAATCATTGGAAACCACTGTCGTGCGGTTTTTTGCTTGTCAATTGCCTCGTCCAATGCTACGCCACCTTTCAAGCCTTTGCTGACCACCACCACCACACCTTGATCCAACCCTAGTTTGAGTGTTTGTGTTGTGCCTATTGTTATTTCAGATTTTCAGGTGTCATGTTATTGTATTTGCCCTGTCAAGTGTGTTGATTGTAATGGTTTATTTGCTTTCTGTTGTGATTTAAGTTGGCTCGGTATGAACTAATTTGTTACTTTCATAGATGATCTCACCAGAAAGATATGAATATATTTTTTATAAAATAAATAAGATATAATCTGGGTGTTTAAGAAGTTGAAGATCATGATAGAGAATGAAACAGGCTTGAGGCTGAAGTGTCTCAACATGGAGCTAGCGAAAATTAACTGTTGATCACTTCAGATATTTGGGGTTTGTTTTATGTACCCATATTCTAGATTGGAAGAGGAAGTTGGATGATGAGAGGGAAAATTGTATTTTTCTTGGTGTTAATGAACAGTGAAAGTCTTAAAATCTTCACAATCCTAACACTATCCAATTTGGGAATGGAGCCAAAATTTAGTTGTAGATAGGGTTGTAATCGAGCCAAGTATATCATAGTTTGGACTTGGTTTTGTAAAATTATAAGTTGTTCATGTTCGGCTTGAGCTTGTGTCGAGCTTTCACATATTGTTTAAGCTTGACTTGTTTAAAATTTTTCAAAGTTCAAACTTGATTTGCTTATGACAAGTGATTTAGTATTTAAGTAAGTTAATAAACGAGTATCTAGATTTTCATATAAAAAATATAATAAATAATTTTATAAATTTAAATAAATAAACAATTGAATAAATTACATAAACAAGTGAATTAATCCACATGCTATCATCTAGGGTCTACAATAGATATATTATCATAAAAATGAATTCTAAGATAGAAAAAAATACTGAAACAAGAAAAAATAAATTAAATGAAATAATATTATAAAGTAATTCGTAATGTGAAATCATTCATCAATTGTAGAGATAATTGAGAAAAATCAAAGGAAGTCAGATCAAACATAATAAAAAAGAATGAACAAAAGTAATATTCAATTTCAAAATTCTATCATGTTAATTTTCAAATAGTAATATTAATATAAAAATAAATATATAATTAATAATTAATCTAAAATTATTATTGATATAACAATATATTACTTAAAATTTTTAATTAAATAATTTCTAGTTATTTAAATTTTATTTAGATAATATATCATATATGATATGAGCGATATTTGAGTTTAATATTGAGTATTTAACAAATTACGTTTTGAAAAACAAACGAGTTTGTTCGTGAACATAAATGAACAAGTTCGACTATGTGCATGTTTAGTTCATTTAAGATTCGAGTTTTCAAAATTGTTCAAGTTTGTTTATTTACTAATTTGAATAAATATGATTGATTCTTAATCAAGCCGAGTTCGAGTTGTTCTTCGAGTGCATTGGTTCATTTATAACTCTAGTTGAAAAACCAATTCTAACTAAGTTCTATGGAGAAGATGGTGTTAGAGCAACCCAACTGTAGCAACACCCTGCTCCAACAATTGATGCGCATGAGAATCCTCTCAATGGAACTCATGTCGCTTGTAATCAAACAGTATATAAAAGTCCTGTGAAAGAATTTAAACGGCACAAAATAATTGGTGTGAAGTGGGTTTAGAAGACAATGCTACAAGAGAATGGTGACATCGACAATTACATGGCATGCTTGGTGGCCAAGGGCTAAGCAAGATTTCGGTGTTGATTGTAAGGAAGTATTTGCCTAGTTGCAAGGCATGGCACAATCAGATCGTTGATTGTATTTCAGCTGTAGATTTAGTTCACGTTCATTTGGAGATTTTCTAGATCATGTATTTATCTATCAACCTTCGGGTTATTGGTACATTGGCTTAAAAACGTATCTTTTGAAGGAAGGATTTTAAAAAATGCCGTTATGAACTTACACTTCATCATAAAAATGATGGAGAGAAAATGCTCATTGTTTGTTAATATGTGGTTGATCTAATATGTACAATGTTTGGAAGCTTTAAGAAATCCGTGATGATTGATTTTGGAGTATGTCTGATCTCGGCATGATGAGCAAATATGTACTGCAAAAAGAATTCTTAGTTGCTTGCAAGATAACAAGGAGTTAGGAGTTGTTCTTCAAAAAGGGAGATAAGTCATATTTGTTGTAGTTTACAGATAGTAATTTTGTAGGAGATTCTGATTATTGTGGAAATTACATCCAAGTATTTGTTTTTCATGCCAAGAACATGAACTATTTCTTGATTGTCAAAAAAGCAGCCATTCATGACATTTGTCAACCCTACATTAGCTGAATTTGTTGTAGTAACATCATGTGCCTGCAACCTATTTAGTTAACGAAGATTCTTGAGGAGCTACAGTTGGACCTACTCATTTACTGTGAAAACAATTTAGATGTAAAGCTCTCAAAGAATCCTGTTCTACATATTCGAAGGAAGCATATAGATTTGAAGTATCATTTTTTGAGAGATCTCACAAATGGTGTTATTAAACTAGTTTAATGGAGAAGAGTGAATTGCTGATATTTTAAGAAAGTCTCTCCATTTCAGAAGCTCAGGGTGCTTTGTGTTTGCTTCTCAAAGGGCATTATTTGGGGATGGCGCCTCTATGTTGAGTTTTCTTAAACCATAGTTTTGTGTGAAACATCAGTTTAATAGAAACGACAATGAACAAAAAATAATTGCAGCACATTAGAATGTGTTGATGTAGGTTGCTTTAATCTCTAGGAGTTTAGCTGTTAGTTTATGTTTTTTGCCTAATTTGCGGGAGTTGTTTAGCATGGTGTGCTAACTATCATGATCATGCTCGGCGGCTTGCAATTAAAGGTAGAAGTGGACAGTAGAACGATGCTGTCATATTAATCCAATGTTTACAGTAATCCACAATAAACCGCAATAATCTCAAACTTTATTTTTACATTTATGCCACCCAAATCTTTCATATCACATAAAAAAAGTGAGATAAACCATTTAATGTACAGATAATGGGGCATATGTGTAAAAATTGAAGTTCGGGTGTTGGATACATAAATATATACAAGAATTGAGTGGGCATGTATGTAAATCTTCTTAAAAATAGCAAAATATAATGATACCACTGATAATGCTCATCATTCTCTATGCTTCAAAATCTTTTTTGCGAACTACCTAAAGACTGATTCACAAAAAAAAAAAAAGGCTGATTGCCAATAAACTCCTGGTGGTGCAGGGCACGGAGACAGCTTCCAGTCCAACCAATGCTGCCTGCACAGTGGAATGAAAGAATGGCTTCTCCTTCCATTGAATTTAATAAGCAAAATCTGTGAGTTCTTGTTCAAATCTCACACAATTTCTCTTAATTATTCCTTCATTTCTGTTAGGTTTTTTTTGTTAGTCAATAAATTGAATGAGATGTATTGAAACTCTAATAAATAATTAGCTATACTCTGAATCTGTAGCCATTGGTTTTAACTATTCAACCTTTACTCTTCAGTTCGCTTGGATTTCATTGAAAATGCAACAGTTTATTGTGTTCTATTCATGTTTGCTCTAGGAGGAATTTACATACGTAGCAGTCAAAACTTTTAATATTACCAATTTCACACATAAGCTCTTCTATTTACATTTATGACACTCAAAATATTAGAATAACTGCAAAAATAACGCCTCTTTGTTTCCCCCATCCCCATCATTCTCATTTAAGGCTCCATTTCATACTACTAGCTGGTGCCAATCTCATGCTGTGCCCAGCCGTCTCTGCCTAAATCAAATTCTCATGCCAATTCACCTCGTCAGATCTAGCCATCTGGTGGTCGCCAGAGCAGTGAGATTCGGTTAACTCCGTTAACATGTTATAAATGTAAATAGAAAATTTTATGTGTGAAATTTGTAATATTGAAAGTTTGGGTGCTATGTAAATCTCCCTAACCTCAAATAGCATTTGAGCCAAAGTTTCTTATGACATGCTTGAAGGATAGATCTCTTCTATCATAAATTGGGTTGTTGACAACTATCAGTCTAAGGTTTTGCTTCTGCTTCTATTGCACTTAAAATTTTCCAAAAATGGAAGAAGCAAAGAAAAGAGACTACAGTTCTATTTGAGACAATTTTTTATATGTTTTGTGTTGCAGCCACAAGGAACTTATTTCTTGCTGTTTTTTTTTAGAAATTTTTGTCCCAGAGATATGTTTTTTAATCTAATGTGGCAGAAATATATATTTATAATTCTCATCGTAACTTTTTAGAGAAGTTCTTTTTTTCACTGCATCTTTACAAATATTTTTAATAAGTTGAAGCGGACTTGAACCATGTTGGTGGTCTTATTAGTAAGAGTATTAGGAGTTCTTAGAAAATAGGTGAAATTTATACAACAAATATAGTGAAAAAAAAGAAGGAGGAAAGATCAAAATACAAATTATATAGTTTTATTAATTGATGGTTGCTTCCTACTGTCATTGCAGCATATGTCGCTGTAAATTTTGTGGAGAATCATAGTCCTTTTTTATTTTGATGTCATTTTTATGAGAAAAAACTTGAATCAGTTGAAAATATAATTAAAAAAATCTAAATTATTATTTTATATCATTTAATAAAATAATTTTATTTTTCATTAGGCTGTCATTGAATTTGTTTCCGCTTAACACATTTGAAATTTGGATTATTATATTCAAAATAACTATAAGAGAATGGTGCATTTTAAAAAAGATGGTAGTAAATCTTATTTATGCATGAAAATGTAAGACTGGACAACTGGGTTATTAATGCAACATGTAAGGTTTAGATGTTAGATATGCAAATACATAAGAATTGGGTGGTGCGCATGTAAATGCACCAACATAAAAAACTAAGCGTTTAAAATGAATAACAAATGCCTACCAATCCAATTGTAAGTGGTGGGTAGTGCATGAACAACTGTTATTTTCTTTTAACTTGCCAAAAATTTTCCATAAAAATAATGATAATGGAGAAAAGTTATCTAGTTAAAAATTATGCTGCTCCTTGTTTCATAATCACAAATTTTCCTCATTTATAAAATATTTCAAAGTGAGTGTACGCACCAAAATCGTCGACATAAATCTCAAAGCGATCAGACAATTCAGGACGAGGTCAGATAGTCAAGACTTCAAACTACAAGAACATGATTCAAGCTAGTCATCCAACGATTGATGGCTCTGTTGAAGTCAACTGAAACACTATGATGAGGGACCAGTTGGTAGGCCACACCTATAGTTTTAGACCGTCATAACTCCTGTCCGACCGCAACACATTGACCGACCAGTTTTTTACTTCAGTAAGCTCGGTCAACACTCAGCCTGTCGCCTTGGTCTTCAGATCGAACTCAAAAGTGTCGACCAGTCGGTTACCGCCATATTTGCATTCAAATTGTAATACATATTAGATAGTCAATCATTACTATGAAATTGTATTAAAAATAGTTTTCATAATTGTTTTCTCTTTTTTATAGCTGTATAATACACCCTTATAAATAGAGGACAATAAGGCGAATAAAAGGTCCGCTCCTCGTTTCTCTATAGGGATTTCCTCAATTACTCTCTCTCATCTTCCTTCGTTTGAACTCTTTAGGCTTGTTTTCACAATGGACAATTTAAGAGTCAACATCCTGAAATGTGGTGCGGTGAGCGTGAACATGCCCCAGACGAGAAGCAGAGTCAACTACGAAGGAGAATCCTTGCGAAGGGATGAAACACACATGAAATTCAACAGAGAAATGACACATCAAGATATACAAGAAGAGGTCCAGGTATTGTGACCACATATTATCAATCAATTCGAGAACCTCTAAGCAGCCTTAACTCAGAGAAATGTCCAACCACCACCCTTTGTGAGAGGATCTTGGGGAGCTTGACCCTAGAGAGCTTCCCTTAACCCGATGGTACCCCTGCGGATAGGTTAGTGACTTACCGACCGAAGGGCAAGAAGACTCCCTACACAATGACAACGTGGGATCCACACCGATCGTCAGACAACTCTAAGGGGGAGCCCCCACTAGGATGATGGTGGGTAATGTTTTCTCTTGGAGGATCCCGAAGGCCATCTCTCCAGCAAAGCTGAGAATCCTCACTTTGGCTCCTATAAAGGAAAGAGGGACAAGTTTGATCACCTGACTTTTTTTGAGTCATTGGTCGGGATCCTACAGTTTGATGACCCCAAGAAGTGTCGGCTTGTTTAGATCACTCTGAAAGAAGTCACACTCTGAGGGTTCAATAATCTGTCAGATGACATCATCTCATCCTTCTTTAAATTTTGCAAGCTCTTCCTGTCGTATTTTGCCAATGTGCAAAAATCGAGGAATGACAAAGAGACCCTGCTGCATATCTAGCTGGGAGAGAATGAAAGCCTAAGCTTACATTACATGCTTCGAAAAGGAAATGTTTGAGGTGAAGAACTTAGAACCACTCATCGCCCGGGCTGCCCCGAAACAAGGGATCCGCAACAAACAATTTATGTATGACCTAAACCTACTCAGGCCAAGGACCTTTATGGAGGTCCTGGAATTGATCAATGATCACATCGTTGCTGAGGATAACCTAGTGGATTCTTTGGAAACCAAACCACAGGCGTCTAACCGTCAATCGCAGAAGCAAGAAGGCTGGGATGAAGACTGAAGGACAAAAAAATGATCGAACCCTTAGTGGTCGACTGGCCGACAATCCTCAACCCGATAAGCTTGGGGGAGTGATCAAGGCAGCAATGAACAGCAGTACAGTCCAGATCAACAGTCGGGTCGGTACTACCAATGACTACACATGTATCAGTAGATGCAAGGGTTGACACCTCTGAATCTGACGATGTCTGAGTTAGTCCAAGCCATTCAAAATAAAGACTACTTTAAGAAGGCCCCTCCCCTAAACTACATCCTAACAAGTATTGAGTCTGTCATCGAGACCACATACATGACACAGAGGAGTGTTGTCACCTCCTAAACTTGGGGGAAGAGCTCATCAAGACCAACAAGCTGAAAGATTCATCGTCATCAGAACACACGCACAACGACAAGGCAAGGCCCCGACAGTGTAACCCAAGGATGGACCTATTCAAACAAACCAGACCCATTTGGTTGGAATCTTCTCGGCTATTTTTGGAGGAGATGCAGGATTTCACCAACAATCCAACTCGAAAAGGCATTGGTCGAGGGAAGTATGTTCCTTCACCCCTTACACTAGAACTCACCCCTCAACTATTTTCACTGTTGCAGATTTTCCGCCGAAGGGGAACTAGTACAATGAAGCAGTTGTTGTTACAACACTCATTAACAATTATCTGGTGGGTAGCATCGTGGTCGACACCAGCAGCTCGATAAATATCCTGTTCAAATCGGTGTTCGACAAAATGGGGCTCAAGACTAATCGACTTGCTGCCCAACTGAACCACTATTCAACTTCTCGAGGGAAAGAAAAGAAGCTTTAGGATTGATCGCGCTAGCCGTATTGTGGGGAGCACAAAAAATAATTCACCAACACGGAGAATTTCCTAGTGGTGGAAACCCCACCTGCGAATAATGTCATCTTCAGCCGACCATTGTTGAACGCTACCAGGCGGTGGCTTCGACGCATCATGTGGACGGGAAAATTTCAGAGGATGGGGAGATCATCATGATTTGAAGAGACTTAGAGCAGTTAAGAAACTGCTACATGCGAGCAATCACCAAAACATTGACCATGAGCCACTCGACATCCAGATACAAAGGGAAGGGGGTATCGAGACAAGTGAGACCATCCTTCGCGTACCGACCAATAATGAGGAAGAAATCAATAAGGTTCTTCTAATCAGTGAAATTTTTGATCAATAGTACAAGAACCTGCTGATTGAAACCCTACGTCATCATCGGGACATGTTTGCATGGATGACTGTAAAGATGCCTAGAGTCCCGCTTAACATCACCTGCCATCATTTCAACATCAGTTTATTCTATCGATCAGTGCAGCACAAAACTCCAATTGACTACAAGAGTCCTAGTAGAGCCGATAGCATCGAAGGTCCAGAAACTGAAGGAGGTGGGCTACATTTGGAAAGATCAGCATAGTCTGGAAAAGGTATGAGCGATCTGGAGCAAACAACGAGGTTGGCACAACCTCAACTTTTGTGGGATTTTGGTGCTAGGGCTTTTGGGAAAATGCTCGGATTCATATGCGAGAGTCTACGAAGTCCACTAACCTATCAATTTTTTTAAGCCCAAAAACTTAGTCCTTAATCCTCTAACATCCAGACCTACGGGGCTCTAGAAAAGGGAAATATGTCAGTTGAGAGGATTATACTGTCGTGGTGATTGTCTAATTTCCAATGGTGTCCTGAAAGAAGCTATTCTAATGGTGTCGGCACTATTTCGGGTCGTGGAATTACCCGTTGGAAGCTGTTGCCGCCGGAATCAAAATCCTGTCACCCACTTCGGAAAGACATTTAATTTATATAATATATAAGTTTATAAAAATATGAA